TCAGCTCAACTAACACTGTTAACAGAAAAATGTCAAATTACATTAATACCCAACTGTCTTCTTCTCCCCATCAAATGGCTTTGTTAAAATCAAAGCCCACCAATATTACTGTTAAAATAAAAGCCCTCTTGTATCAATCGGTTCCCAAGTTTACAAAACCACAAACGACACCACAACGAACAACCAACGCAAGAGACACCACTCTCACCTCCTCAAAGAACCGCCTAACCAATCGTACCAAAAACAAAGTGTCTTTATTGTTGCATTGTATGCAACATCTCTTTAATTTGTTGCAAAATCTAAACAAAATCGGAACCGAAATTAGTTTTAGTTTTCTATTTTTGGATGTGATCTCGATTTTAATTTTTGATTTTGACTTTGATTTCAATTTTGGATCAAAAGTGATTTCAATTTCAATTTTCAAATTGGAATCGAAATTGATCAATTTGGCATGGTAGGTTGAGGATGTTGAGGTAGCAAATGAATGAAATTGGTTTTGGGGTTGTGGGTGGAGGTTGCTGATGGTGGCACATGTACCACAATTTCCGTCAAGTCGGTCGAAATCATTCCAAATCATTACAGTAGTAACTTGGTCCAAAACTACAAGTGGGTTATGTGCTTATTTATGAACCTAAAGGGGGCAAAGTCCTATTGGGCAAATCAAAAGGGAGCAGAATGAAATTTCCCCTTTTTTTTTCAATATGTTGCTTTGATCGTACTCTTCTAATAAAACAAGATAAAATTGAATCATAAAGTCCATTCAAAGCCATTGAAATCAATGTTTGAAATAGTATGATTAAAGCGACATTTGAGGATTATTCATCCAATATAATAGTTTCACAAATTTAATTAACCGTATCCAGGTGGGAGTTGATAAACGTGTTAATCCTAAGAAATCTGGAAATTTTCAATAGACATCTGCGTATTATTGGATTCGGATTGATTGATTTTTGACAAAAAATTGAATTAAGCACGATTTATTATCACTAATAATAAATGAGTGTGATTAGTGTTCAACATGAATAAATCATTTTTGACAGCACAAACCTGTAAAACAGTAATTGAATGAAAAAATGTATATTTTTTTCTTTTATAAAAAGGGGTTATGTAAATACTTGTAGATTAATGATTTTTTATTTTTACTTAGCCTTGCAAGCATTTGAATTAAGTGCATTTAAACTTTATGAACAATTTGTTGCAAAGTTGGACGGCAAATTTGACTTGTATCAACAATATAATAACTCATGACTTGAGAATAATATTTGTCATGTGAAAAATAATCTTTTGTGATAATTAATTCATAGTCATTGCTTTCAATTCTACTAAAATAGTAATATAATTTGTACAACAATCCTATTTAATAACATTATTAATGTGTCACTATTTGACCCCCCCCCCCCACCCCCTTGTTGGTAAAATTCTGGTTCTATGACTCCGTATCATAAAATCTAACGAGATTAAGTAAATGAGTTAGTGGGTTAAAATTGGTTGATAATGATACCAATTGGGTTGAATTCATGTGAATTTTATCGTTTACCACAACCACCTCTATCCCCACCACCAATCGCACTATCGCTGCCAACACCACCACGACACCACCATCGCCATATAAATCAAGCTCATAGTGCCTCAATTTTGATTAGTTGTATCTAGACAAGAGCTTTATTTACACACAATCAAGTTGAGAAGCTAAAGTTGAATTTGGTAAAAGATGAGAAGCTCAAGTTGAAAAACATATCCAATACACCTTCAAATGTAATCAAGTTTGTCAACGTGAGAAAATTACTCAAACTCACGGAATGTCTCACTCAAAAGAGCATGGAAGGTGCCTCCTACTTTCATCAATGCTTGTGTATGAGATTCAAAGAAGGTTAGTTTGGTTATTTATTTTGCCCAAATCTTCTTTCTCAAAAGATATTGATCAAATTCAAGACTCCTTTATCCAACTTTCATTCTCGAACATTGTCTATATATTAAATGTAATGTTTAAGGCTAACAAATTGGAGACAGAGCAAAAAGGAAAAAAAAAATTAGAAGATTAAAAGTTTGTAACTGTCAACCAAGTTTACCCACAATTTAAATTACATAGATTGTAAGGTAGTCTCACCCAGAAGAAAGAAATTGATCGAATAATTTTCTATTCTGGTTATCCAATTCTGTATTACAAAACAATACGCCTATTGCAAAAAGAAAAAGTATTTACAAAGGGCTGAAGAGAACCTTTTGAACTGTCCTTTTAAAATTTTAAAGAATCCAATTTTTGGACATGAAGTTTCCCTCTATTTGTGATACAGGGGATCGGAGCACATGGTTAAACTGTAAATACAAATTCTTGGCTATGGTTCTAATGTCAGCGATGAAAGATGCTATTTGCGATAGACTTACGCCCTCGTTGGAGCTGAGCTGGATGACTTCTTCATTGTCAATTTCAATGCGGTGGCTTTCTCCCTCTGTAGAGTGCCTGCCATTAAGCAAGCATCCAGCACTGCAACGGCTTCAGAAAACAGAATGAAAATTATCGGAATGGTGGAAGTAGAGGTGGCCCGACTCAAATTTGGTTCTAGACAAAAATATTATATGAGATCACATGACAAAATAATTATTTAAATAAAACTATTTTCTTATTTTTGAGATGTAAAATTTCAAATTCAACTTTTGCATTCAATTTTTATATATAATTTCACTAATTGAAATTGAGTTTGTAGACCAAAATATAATAAAATTTTCTACCACTTAAAAATATACAACAAAAAAAAGAATTGAAATTTGTTAATATAGCAAAATAAATTTTCAAATGATGAATGTTAGTAGGATTTTTAATATTAAGCCACTTTAATGTAGTTTATTGTGATATTTGGATTGATAGTATACCCCATCAAACATTAGAACTTGGTGTTAATCAAATAATTCATATGAAACCACATCATTCTGTCAGCAAATTAAGTTAAATTTTAAGGTCCAAATAGCATTATTCTTAATTTTTTACCTATTTTGTGTGTAAGTTTTGTGTTATAAAAAATAATTAAATAAAAACTTTGACATAGATGAAAAAAATCTTCGAATTTAAGCCAAGATTTGGTTGCTTGCTTCTTGCAAATGAAAACCCTAACCTATTTTTAGTTTTCGTCTGTCCATGAATGACTATGATATTGTCAAATGTTATAAATTTATGGTGTCTCTAGAATTTTTTGTTCAAATATATAGTCTTTTAATATATATGTATGTAAATATATATATATATATATATATATATATATATAAGAATATTTTAGATCTCTCTTTTACTTCCCTTTATATTTTTTTTATATTCTAGAATGTTCCTTGAATATTCAAAGGGTTTTAAAATTAAAAAACTTATTCTAAGGTTGTTTCAAATTTTCAAGAAGGTGGAACGTAAAAAAAATCTCACTTAATATAAGGTACTGTGTTGAGATGGTTCATATTTTCAATATTTACATAAAACATAAATAAGATTGAAAATAACAAAGGTAATAAAGAAAATACTTATTCGTGTCGTATTAGAATTTGCTCAATTTATAGTCGTTCCATTTATAATCTTGTATAGTTAAATTTGTATTATATATAAGTCATGTTTAACTGATTTTTTTGTCATTAGTTAAATTTATATTGATTTATTTATTTGAAAGACTTAACAAGTTTATTTATTTATCACTCGTATCAACTAAAGCTAAATCCAAACTCATTATTTTCATATCGATGCAAACCTAAAATTGCCTTAAAATTGGAGGTCCTAAATTTTTTTTTAGTGATTCTAAATTTTTTTTTTGGGCCCTAAATATATGTATTAAATTGGAGTCTTGGCGGTGGCCTTAATGGCCTATGCCTAGAGCCGGCGCTGGGTGTAAGCTCCACCCCCGTCAGCTGGCCCTCGTAGTTCCTGGTGAAAATACCTCATCTTATTGCTTAAAGTCCCATCGCTACACTGGAGATTGGCTCAAGTTGCTTTCACTTGCCTGTATCCCTGATCGAGAAGAATTCTCCTAGAAGACTGAGCCCTTCTATATGGCGGACTGGGTTGGGAGGAGAAGTCTATGGTACCGCTTAGTAGAATAACGGTATAGCACCAAAAAGCCGATGGGCCTTGTCAGAGGAAAAAACAATGTGAAAAAAGAAGAACATAAAAGGACAACCAGCTAAAACAGTGCATTGCAAGTTGAAAGTAAATTATGATCAATCATAACATAAAATGATTGATCAATATTTTCAGAAGAGTTACAATAAGATGGATGAAGGTGGGGGTTTGTTGGGGAACAGTAAGTATAATTACGATCGATCATATTCGTAAAAATGTTCGATTTTAGAAAGAGTTTGATCGAACAAATAAATTGTAATGGATAAGAAATTATTTTGTGATCGATCTAATACTTGCAAGTTGAAAGTATATTATGATCGATCATAACTTAAAATGATCGATTGATATTTTCATATGAGTTACAACAAGATGGATGAAGGTAGGGGCTTGCTGGGGGAACACTCACTATAATTACGATTGATCACATTCGTAAATATGTTCGATTTTACAAGGACTTTGATTGAGCAATTAAATTGTGATGGATAAGAGATTGTTTTGTGATCGATCTAATAATGGTACATTGATCAAAAATATTTTGATAATTTACTTGAATTTTTTTTTTCGAAATATTAACCCTTATTTTATAGATTGTCATCGATCTGTAAAATTAAGATTGATCAACAGAAATTGTTCAATAAAAATATCTTAAATTCGATTCAAATAAAAGTAGAGGGGCTTAAGGAATTAGTTGTTGGTTATTTTTGTCATTTTGCACCTTAAGTGCTATCAGTACCCATTGTAGATGTATTCCCCCCGCCATTACTGAGTTCTCCAAAACACTAACCCTTTACTTGAACAAGTTACGAACAATACATCCCCCCCAATGGATTGTAAAACATATGGGTCCTCTGTACATCCAATCAAAGAAGTTGTAATCCCTTCCCCCAACAATTTCGTTTAGATCGACATGGCCGGTGAAACAGCTGGAGCAAGAAAGAAGAGGAAGGCAGTGAATGGCATGAATAAGAAAGTCGTTACTACCCAGAAGAAGAAGGATGGTGAAATAAGTAAGAGTTCAAAAGGTTACACTGGTTTCCTGAACAAAGATGCGAAAAATTATTTGAAACCTGTTTTTGTCGTTGCCCATTGTTAGTGGAATGAGGCGTTGCACTGGGTGAGAAGGATGATAAGGCATATGACAACCTAGTTACATTGTTTTATGCAAATTTACATGACTTTGATAAGGTTGGGCACACTTTGAAATCTCCAGTTAGGATTAAAGAAATAGAAGTTTCCCCTGATTTTATTTCAAAAATGTTGAAAGTTCTCAGACTTGTCATCATTGAGGATATCATTGTATTTCCTTACAAAAGTAAAGAGGAAGTCCCTAGCATGGAAACAGTTATTGAGACAATTTGTGATGCCGCTATCAATTGCGTGGATGAGAATAGTAAAATATATTAGAAAGACCTTCATTTGTCTTATACGATGTTAAACATAGTAGTTGCTTGTAACATTGATCCCAAAGGACATACAACTGAACTTGGATATGATAGAGCTCAACTCCTATATGCGATTGGTAAAGGTGCATGCATTGACCTTCCTCATTACATATTCCAACTGATTCTTAATGCCTATGAGTTGCAAGATAACAGGCAAAGTCTTCCCTTTCTTATTTTGATTACAAATATTATGAAGTTTTATAGAGTTGTGATTGAACCTGGCAAATCGTATAGTGCTGTCATGGGTATGATAAACAAGGGTACTATGAAAAAAAGTGACAATCATTATGGGCCTATAAATCGTGGTAAGACTGCCAAACTGAGGCCATTACTGTGAAAGAGGGCAATGGTTCAAGTGCCAGTCCAATCAACATGAATACTATTGGGTAAAAGCTGGAGCAAATACTAACTGATCAAAATTCTCTGGCCACATAGTTTCATGCCTTTCAGGAATGCACGAAGGGATCTTTGGAAAAGCTGGAGAGTAAGATTGATGGGTTTTACAAGGAATTTAAAGAGTATGGAAAGAAGTGATGTTGATGGATTTTGTCTGGAAGAAATTCCTATGAATACTGCTTGTGTATATGTGTGTAAATCTTTTGGGCCATATTAGAGTTGGCGACCTTGTAACCTATAAAATGTTATCAATTCTGTTGAACAGAATATTTTGGTAATGTTATGAAATATTTTGTTGTATGGTGTTGTTAAAAGTAGTATTTCATAATTCATTGTTTCCAGCGCATTATGTTCCAGCAAAGCAATGGTCTTGTATAGAGCAGTCACTACTCCCTCTCACCCATCTCTGTTTCGCACCTAAAATTCCATATACTTCCCCAAAACAAACTACCAACTAAACATAAGTGAAATAGTGCTTAATATTTGTTAGTTTCACAACAAAGCAGCATACAAGGGAAGAAGAAAGCAGCAACATACTGCTTAGTTGGATAGGCAACCATGCAGAGGATAACACATGTAAATGAGATTCATCATTTATGCAGGTGAATCCCACCTAGCTCATGTGGTGATCTAGCAATTGTAGAAGCTTGTCCAAAATGACAAGCATACATGAAACTTGTCCAAAATGATTTGCGTACGTGAAAGTTGTCCAACATGAGTTGCATACATGAAACTTGTCCAAATATGGGCGTTTTACCCTGCACAGAAAAATTTTGAATGGTTTAGTCAATTTAATCACATATGGTATGCAAATTTTCCTGCAATATGAAAATGCTCACCTTGACAAACCTTAAAGTGGAGTGAAGAATTGTCCATGAACAGTTGAGTGAAAGTCATGAAAGCCATCTTGAATAGTCAATGTATCAATAACTATGCGTAAGGAAATGGTGCATTGCTTGATAACTTATAAAGCATCAAATAAAATGGGAACTTTGTGTTATACAAATGTTATTAAACTCCACTCATGTTTACCTACATGAATGAAAGGCTCAAATGGTTCCTGGGTTGGCAATGGTTGCTAGGATCCACCTAGTTGTGAAAAGGCATGCCTTCGTATGGATCAGTAGTCTTGGTAGTCAACAAAAGACATTTTCGAATAGTATGCCCGGTCGAAAATTAAAGTTAAAATAAAATTTATAAGCTCTGTTTTCATGGTAGAATAAGTAATAATGGTTCTTTCTTTTTTTAGATTTTCAACACATAGCATCACCACCCAATCTAAAAATATAATCATTAACACTTGACAAAGTATTCCAATTTCCATCACAATATCCTTCAAGAACAGTAGGGTACTTTTTAAAAAATAATTCATTATTTTTTGTACCAACTAAATATTTTATTATTCATTCTATGACATGTTAATGATGTCTATTAGGCTTGTTAGTAAATTTGTTAAGTATCTCTTCTACATATGTAATGTCAGGTCTAGTATAATCAGGCGCATAACGCAAGTTGTCAATCATTCTAGCATATTCCTTTTAATTAACAATATCAACATCACTTTTAACAGGATATAAGTGATCACTTAAATCAAAAAAAGTAGTCTGATGCTTGCAATCAATAAAGTTAAACTTTATCAATATTTTTTGAATTCAGTGCGACTGATCAAGAAAAATACTATCACATGTTTTGGTTATTTTCATACACAAAATGAAATTAGCCACCCCAAAATATTTCATATCAAATTAGCGATTAAGCATTTTTTTTCTCTCTTTTAATAACATGCTAAATAAGAGCCAAATATCATACATATAGAGGCTAATAAGAACATGTGAATTTTCAAAAGATTTGTAGTAAATACCCTTATCACACTTATTTCACTTAAAGCCATTTTGAATCGTGTAAAAATCAAAATTTTTTGTGGCACTATTTGGGTGATTATCTTAAGTCATAAAGAGACTTAGTCAATTTGCACACTTTATTTCTCGTCCAGACTTAATGAATCTTTCATGTCGGCGTACGTAAATTTTCTCTTCTAGGTCCCCATTTAAAAAAATAGTTTTTACATCCATGTGATAAATTTTAAATCATGAATTGCAACAATTGCAATTAAAAGTCTAATGGATGTTACCTTAGTAATCGGAGAAAAAATATCAAAAAAATAGGCGTAGAATTTTCTTGTTTTTGCAAAATAGGAGTAGAAGTGTTGGGATCATTTGATAAAATTTCTCTAACTTCTTGGCCCCCACTAATTTTTAATTTAAAAGAAAAATTTTCTTCATGAAAAATAGCATCCTTTGACTCAAAAATTACATAATATCTAAACATTTGTAAGTCGAACTCTTTAAAGCATATCCAAGAAAAACATTAGTGGCTGCTCTAGCAACTAATTTGGGTCTTTTGGGATCGAGTAATCTAACATAGGCTAGGCAACCCCATTCCTTAAAATATCTCAAATTTGACTTATATCCTTTTCACAACTCAAAAGGAGTAAATTTAATCTTTTTATGTGGCATTCGATTCAAAACATGACAAGCTGTTAATATTGTTTATCCCCAAAAATTGGAAGGAGCACTAAGGTAAATTAACATGACATTTGTCAATTCAATAAGTGTTCTATTATTCTTTCAACCACACTATAAGAGGTAGGTGAATATCGAGGCATAGCCTCATAGATAATTCCCAAAAATTGAACAAAAGAATTGAATCTAGTTGATTCATACTCTTGGCCTCTATCACTTTGAATTCTTTTAATCTTTTTATTGAATTGATTTTCTACTTCATGGAGAAATTGTTTGAATTTATCAAATGCATCACTTATGTGTTTTAACTAACAAACATATATGCATATCTCAAAAAATCATCAATAAAAGTAATGAAATTTCTATTTCCTCCAAGGGTCAAAGTACCCACAATTTCACAAATATCAGTGTGAATTAACTTAACCAATTCAGTACTTCGTTCAACACTTTTATGAGGCCTTTTGTGATTTTTGCTTTACTACAAGTTTCACATTATTCAAAATCATTTTTCAATTTTGGAATTAATCCTAGGCTACTCATTATGCCAACATATCTACTATTGATAAGACATAAATGAGCAAGCCAAAAATTTATGCAAGAGAGCAAGTAAATAGAACTAACATATGTGTTATTATCCTCAATACTCAATTTAAACATACCATGCATAATCCTTGCCCACAACTATACTATTTTTAGAAATTACATATTGAGCATATTAGAATATGTTGGAAGCCAGCCTTGTTAAACTTCAACTCGACCTCATCACTCCCAAGAACATTAGTTGCATGAGAGTTACCAAACATAATGCTATTGGTGGCTCGTAGGGAGTATACACTTCAAACTATTTTTTAATCATAACAGACATGCCTATTGGCACCACAGTCTGCCTGCCACCCTTCTGTGCTCTCAACCATATTGATGTCTGTAATTATCGTCACAAGTAACTCCTCAATAACGTTAGCTTAAGGTAAAACCTCACATTCACAAAATTCACAAATTCAAGCAATGTGCCCACTCTTGCCACCGACAAAATAAGCGCTAAAATTTTTATTACATGAAGGGGTTCATTTGGTTCATATTCTTATGATTTGAACTTCCACTATTGTTTGAGGTCTACCATTATTTCTCCAAACTTTCTTAATAGGCTTCAAATAAGTATTTCTATAATTATTATTTATAGGCAAATTATTTAAGTAGAGAAAGCATACCTTAATGGTGATATCATTACTCTCTTGAAATCACAAGTGCATCTTTACCTCTTATCTCATCCTCCATGTGGATACGTGCATCCAATATATCTAGGGAAATCTTTGTTGCTTATTTCATAAGGTGTCTTTGAATTATCTCCATCTCTTGAATTGGGTTCCCATCAGTTGGAAAGGCTTGTAGAAATCTCCAATGTAGTGTGTATGCTTCTCAAGTATATATTCCATTGATTCTCTTTAAATTTGTTGGTGTAATTTCATAAATTGAGAAGCAAAGTATAAAATAATAAAAACTTGACACGAAACAACTCATGTTGAAGCACGGGTATCTCGCTCTCTTTAAGGAGATTCAAGCCTACTATGAATGGCAAAGCCTAAATCCGATGCAACAAACTTTTTAATTTGACTTGTCTTCTCTAGGATACAACAGCTCGACAGTTTCGTCATATGACTTTAACCAACTCTGCACAAGTGCTTAAATCTAAAGCTCCACCATATAAACACCCTTCTTTGGCTTGAACTCTCAAGTATGTGGTGTATGTGGTGAAGTGTTATAATGTGTTATATAATGTTACATAAGTGTTCAAATGCCCAACTTAAAATTCTTATTTATAGGCTTTAAGAACCTTCTAGAGTTCATGTATCAAAGTCATACATGTATTCACAAAGTACATGTATAGAACTATACATGTATGTATTAATAATTAATTCATACATATAAGTCATATATAAATGTGCATTAATAATTAATTCATACATATAAGTCATATATAAATGTGCATGGGATAGCAAAATCAATACATATAAAGGTTCATACATATAAGTCCGTCGTGAATGGA